CCTTTTTTTTTTTTTTTTTTTTGCGGTACGCGGGCCTCTCACCACTGCGGCCTCTCGCGCTGCGAAGCACAGGCTCCGGACGCACAGGCTCAGCAGCCATGGCTCACGGGCCCAGCCGTGCCATGGCATGTGGGATCCTCCTGGACTGGGGCACGATCCCGTGTCCCCTGCATCAGCAGGCGGACCCTCAACCACTGCGCCACCAGGGAAGCCCCGATATTACTCTTTAAAATCATGATGAGGAATAGTTTACCATGTTAAAATGTCAGTGTTTTCATTTAATCTTGTAAAGAAAACTGGTGGAACCTAGGAATTGTAGGCTAGGTTGACAACCCTGGCCAAGAAACTGAGAAATCCTAGTATAGACTAGGAATTATAAAATCTCATAAAGCTTTCTGATCCTCATTTACCCAGTTGACACTGCTTTTCTTGATGTTTAGAAAACAATTTATTTGAATAAGAGGGCAGAGGGAAGGTGGCTGGAGCCATGGCAGCAGCTCCTCCCTGACACTTTCTTAGCAGCAAATCCTGGGGGGGACAGAGGAGGCCATGGGAAGGAGGGGGTACTGTCTAGTGAAGTTCACTCTGTAATAATAACAAAAATGAAGCATACTGTAGTGGTTTCTTTATAGACATTAACTCTTTTAATTCTCTCTCAACAACCCATAATGTGGATTTTAGTATCCTCATTTCAGAGCTCAGTTAAAATAACGTTTCTGTAGTCCAGTGCTAATAAGCGGCAGAGCACGTATTTGAACTTGGGTCTAACTCCAACACTGGTGCTCAGGGCCTCTATCAACACTCTTGTTTCCTGTCTTTTTGCCATGCAGCTTTTAGACAGCATTTTGAGATACTGCTGACCTGAAGAGGTGATGTGCCTCATAATGATTACCGTTGTTTATTTTTTAGATAAGAAACAGATGGAAACATTTTGAGAGATGGATAAAAACTAAAGCCTAATGAAATTTGTTTTTTTCCTTATTTGGTAGAAAGATTTATAGGAGCAAAGGGGAAAAAACTATTCAGAAAAAATAAGATCTGTGATTCTGGCAGAGGAGAAAATATAGTTGAGAAAACAGGAGAGTGACTCCAGCTCTGAGAGCAGGCTGGTTCTGCAGCCTGCTGAGGCCAAAAGCCTGACGTCTAAAAAACATCACATCCTTTAGAGATTTCTATCTCAAGCAACTTTTTTCTAACTGATTTTATTATTATTACTCTTACTAGCAAAATATAAGACCCCACCCAATTATTCTGACTCATAGTATTGAAAATTTGAAGGAGACCCCAGAGAGCATCTGGTTTAGTCTTTACATTTTAGAGTAAACAGAGCAGGAGTCCCTCTGCACGGAATCCCACGACACGCTCGAGACAGAGCTGGTAGCTGGACCACGTCCCCTGATTCCAGCCTTAGGGTTCTTTAGCACCATGCTTGGGCCCTTCGTTTGTAGGAATGGTCGTTACCCTGCTGCATTTGCAGGGTTAGATTTTATTTAAATGGCTGCCAGCCCTTAATTTCTGAGAACCTCCTTAGCTGATTTTCCATTTAAGCAATATCCTGCTTGTCCCCACCAACATACTACCCTCTGTGTGGCCATTTCTCTTGGAGTATAAGAGGTAGATCCCCTTTGTCTGTGGTTTAGCTTACTCTCTTGAGTAACATGGTATATTTGCTTATCAAAACAGTCTATTCATTGCCTATTCCTGTAGAAGCCAGGCTGTATTGATTCCTTCCCTTCCTTGATAGTGACTACATGCCCAGCCTCCATGGAAGAGGAGCTAGAGTGACCCAGATGGCCTGTGTCTGCACTTGAGAGGCTTTTCCCTTTTGCTTTCAGTCAGAACTGTGGCATTGGCCTCCTCATTCCCTCTGTTGGTCAGGCCTGCACCCTCCACTGCCCCTTCTCACTGTCCCTGTGCTCTTACAGAATCCTCATCCTCCCATCCCTAACACCATTTATTATCAAAGCTGGTCCGTAGCAATCCTTTGTTCCAGCCTCCTTTGTCCAGATGAGGAAATGAAGCCCAGAGAGGCTCAGTGATTTGCCCAAGACCTCACTGTGAGTTGGGGGCCTGCCTGGGGCTGGAGCTTAGACCTCACTGATTTGGTCAACGCAGTTTCCAGCTGCAGCTCCATCCTGTTCAGAATTCACTGGGTGCATCTTAGCCAAAAGAATGGCTGAATTTGACTGAACATTTTAAATTTTTTGTTTTATGTATTTGTTTGATCTCTGGTCAAATATTAATACCTTAAATACATGAGTATTTAATGCAGTGGATCCTGAGGCAGACGTACTTTGTGGTGTGGTATATTTTCAGGGCTGTTCACCCTCACTGGTTCAGGTTGGATTCAGGTGGTTTGACTCCCTATTTCCTGATTCCCGATCGCACGGCACCCTACATAGCCATTTCTCATGTTGTGTAGAGGACTTTGATCGTATAGCCACATATATTTCCTATCAGTGGCTGCCAAACCCACAGTACCCCTGATTTCTAGCATAAGCTTATATGGAACCATCCTTTGGCGTGACTTCCTCGGCCTATTGCTGACCTGCAGCTCTTATTCCCACTTTCCTGTTAGCAGCTTGTTGCAGAGGCAAAGATTCCTGAGAAGCGGGCCTCGCCATCCAAGCTGGTCTCTGCCCTGGCCGGTAGGCCTGGCTCCAAGAGCACCCAGACTGTTCCAAAAGCCACAGCAGCTGCCACTCTTGCCTCAGCTGGGCCAAGCAGTAGGAGCCCCTCTACACCCCTGCCCAAGAGGCCCGCTGGTGAGTACTGTGCTTCCCTCCCATGGGAACCAGTGGGGAGGAGGGTGGGGCCTTGGCTTTTTGCTCCAGCCATAGCGCCAGCCGGCATCAAAGACATCTGTGCAGACCTGCTTGTGCACCAGTCCTTAATGAGGTCTGTTGAAAAGTGATAGCCTCGATCTCTATGTGAGGTTAGTAAGTATGTCTATCCAGAAAAATCCTGAGTGAAGGGGATTCTCATGAATTCCAAGGTAGAATTTACTATTCCTTTCTTAGTAACTCCACAGCACCCAGCACGTTGTGTTCGTGGACTTTCATGATAAGAAATAGGCCATTCAAAGAAAGCCCACGTAGAAGGGAAGGCATTGTCAAGACTGTAGAAAAGAGTAAGACACAGTGCTTGGCCTTGGACGCTCCATCAGGGCGTGGTCTTTACTTGGCTGTCTGATTTACTAGTTTGTTCTTAGATACTAGCACAGCCCCTGGCTCAAACAGTTTAGTAATTGTTGAATGAATGCATGAATCTCAGTTTTGGATGAGCCATTCAGTAGGTTATTTTGTTAATCGTGATGTTAAAAAGTATACATTTGTGCAGCGGTCAAGACTGAGGGGAAACCTGCAGACATCAAGAAGATGGCTACAAAGTCTGCACCAGGTAAGACCCCATCCCCCGCTTCATGGATCCCAGATTTAAACCCCCACCTCTTCCATGGCTTTAAGGCTCCCTTTGCTCTCTTCCCTGCACACCTGTTATCTCTCACTCCCACCTTTGCAGCTGACGCGAGTCGCCCAAAGAGCACCTCCACCAGTTCCGTGAAGAAAAGCGCTGCCATCCCTGGGGCGGCACCCCCAGCAGGGGTGACTCCCAGCCGTGTCAAGCCCACAGCCACACCTCCCCGGCCCTCTGGGACTCCTTCCGTGGACAAGAAGCCCACGTCAGCCAAGCCCAGCTCCTCTGCCCCAAGGCTGGGCCGCGTGGCTACCAATGCTTCTGCCCCTGATCTGAAGAATGTCCGTTCCAAGGTTGGCTCCACCGAAAACATCAAGCACCAGCCTGGAGGAGGCCGGGTGAGTCCAGGGAGCTTGGGGTCCTCGGCAGGCTGGCCCCTGCTTCTTCCCCTGCCACATCTAAGCACCGTTCCCAGGCATGTCCTTGCATCAGCCCAAGGGGCCCACCATGCAGGGAGCAGTCAGGACGTTGGATTCAGCATCAGGGAATTTCATCCTGGGCTCCGCCTCCCAGCAGCAGCAAGCAGGTGGCTCTGAGCTTTCTGTTCTCCTCTCCTGTTCTGCATTTTGGGGTTTAGGCTTACGTTTTTGGAGGAAAAAGGGTTCTGCTTTACAAAACAAACAGAGGAGGCCTCTGAGCCTTGAATAGGTGAGAGACACTGGGCAGGAACCTGGTTTGTTCTGTTTCTTACCCCTGCACTGTGAACAGCAGGATAGGCAGAAAGAAGATGGACCTCCTCTTTGTTCCCTAAGCTGTGTCTTGGGTGGAGAGTCTGTCTGAACGAGGACTAGTGTCCTCTTGTGGCCAGGATGACTTGCTGCGAGCCCCTGGCTTTCCTAAACAAAGGACTGTGATATGAGGTGGAGAAGCATGGCTGGCCACAGTGCTTCACTTTAAGGACTTTCTGGGTGCATCCACCCCAAAATTATTTGTTAACTATTAGCAACCACAGGGATTTTATGTGTGAAAAGGTGGTGGCAAAAGTCCAAGTTCAAAGTCCCGGGAGCAGCAACCTTCTCACCTCCTGCCTCATTCTCTAGCACTTAAACCACCACCACCGGCATGCGCCTCCCCCTGCCCACCCGCCACTCAGGATAGGATACTTAAATTGCTTCAATCCAGAGCTGCTAAAAAATTGAAGGGGGTCCAAAATTAAGCAGAATCCTGGTGCTGTTGGAAGACACTGATGGAAAACTGGGATAAGGGTCCAAGAGTTGCTTTTGACAAGAGATTATGGCTCTAACGTACCCAGCCAGGCATCTGGGACCGTGGTGGTGATGGCCTGCCCGTTCCCCACCCTGGCCCATGCTCTTCTTATGTTTTCATGGTGCAAAAGTTGCAGGAGGTCTTGGTAGAGAGTTCAGTAACTCAGTCTGGTGATGAAAGTATTTTCTGTTCCAACGTACCTGAGGGTGTGGCACTTCCCATCATCAGTAATGGCTCCCTGTGACCATGGCAGCTTGCTTGGGGCATATCAGAACACAGGGCAGGGGGGTGGGACATTGTGATTTGAAAACCCCAGTACACACTCAGAAGAGAATCGCTCATTTAGCCTCCTTCTTGCCTCTTCTCCACAAATGGTGTCTTGATCTCTTCCTCGTGTCTCAAGTCTGGTCTGTAGCCCCTCTCCCTCCAGCTTGGTCTGCCCTGGCAAATTGGTGGTTTTTTTCTAGGAGCAAGGGCGACCTGCTTCTGCATGGTGGCCTGGCCTGGATGCGAGTCCCCTTCAGCCTTCTTCCCTTCTTAGTATCTGGGCTCTTGTCCTCTTGGTTTGAAATTTGCCCTCCCTTTATCTCCATCCAGGCCAAAGTAGAGAAAAAAACAGAGGCAGCTGCTCCAGCTCGAAAGCCTGAACCTAACGCAGTCACTAAGGCAGCCGGCCCAATTGGCAGTGCACAGAAACCGCCTGCTGGGAAAGTGAGTTTTATTTAGACTTTTACCTCTTGAAGGTAAAACATGGTCAACTGTTTCTCCAGCCTCAGTCACTTTCCCTTCTATTGCACTTTTTTCTTATCCTTAACTAGTTTCTACTTCTCCCCGTGTTCCTTCCTCTGTGTTTGATGACTCAGGCATCAGAAAGTATTCTCTATTAACCTGAAAGTTAACAGAGCTAGGAGCCCACTAGCCCTTTAGGGAATATTTATTTAGCTGCATAAAATGGATCCAAACACTTTCAGTCACTTCCTTCACTCTGACCTTGATCTGAAACACACCCATTATGTACGCAAACACAGAGGACCCAGCTTCTTCCTCAGTAAGACATGGCACTGGTAACCTTCCAGCAATAGGAACCCTGGAGCCCCTGTGCTTCAAGTTCAGCTGAAGGCCCCTCTCAACACCTCTGGGTGTGGAGATAGCTTCATTTGTCCTGGTTCTCCAAGGACCTCTGTACTGAAAGTTAGGATGCTGATGCCCAGCAAAAACCCACTCAGCATAGGGATTGCACCGTCACCTGGATGCAGTGGGGAAATGCTAGGTTCTTTCCCCTTGTCTCCACACGCTGGAGCCAGGGCCCTCCTCTTGCCCTGGGAACCTTCTGCCCTTATCTGTGGCAGGTAGGTGGCCAGGGCAAGGACTTTGTATGGTTGGCAGGTGGGGAAGGCTGCGCCGTGGTTCCTGGGAGCTTTTAGAGGTCCTGTAGGTCTCTGGTTCATTAGGAAAGTGGTTTGCTCACCAGTTGTTCATCATTGAGGTAAAGAAGGCAAGGAACAGTTGGAGTTTCTCAGGGTAGATTTCTCTACTCTGGGGAGAACCCTTCAGTTTGGGGGCTACTACATCATTTGTGAAGTGCTCTAAGAAAAGGAAGGAAGGACGCTGGCAACTATTCCTTCTTAAGAAGGCTCAGAAAGAATTCTTTGTCCCAGATCTTGGATCCTGAGGCTTTGTTTTGCTCCATTCCAGGGGGAGCCATTTATATACAACACATTGTGCAGGTGCCCCCCCAGATTGTGCCACACTGCAGCCCTGCCCAGAGCCTAGTCTCTTTACACATGAAACAGGGCACAGGATTGGACATCTGGAGGATTGTGGAAGGGGTTTTACCCTGGAATCAAAAGGAAGACTTGACTTAAACCTCAATTGCACTGTGCTTTCTTGAGTCCTGAGACAAGTGAGCTCTGCGTGGAAGTGTGGCTTCGGCCTGTGCCCCCTGGTGCCCAGGGTTCTGCATAGCAGGTCCAGCGGCCTCTGGTCCATTCCTTCCCATCAGCATCACATCTGGGCGGTGAGCCAGCGGCCCCGGGCTTCTCCACACAGCCTTTGCTTCTTAGAGCAGGTCTGGCTGCAGCGATTCCAGGCCCCAGATTTAAGGGAAGTGCCGTCCTTGGGTGAGGACGGGTCCGATGAGCAGGACCCTTGCAGAGAGGAGCGTCGGGGATAGAGCAGGCGGGGGTGGGCCGTGGCTGAGTGGGCACTGGGGCCACTGCTGTCTGCACCCTGTGAACTGCAGCTGCCCCCCAGGAGCAGTGAGGATGCCCATGTAGCGCTCTGGCGACATCTCCTGTCCTTGTGTTGTTTGTTCGTGTTTTCACTCCCTTTCCTGCTCCTTCCAGTTCCTTGGCCTGTGCTTTTCCACAGCAGTTCTGCTGAAGGTGGGGTTTTAACAGCACTCCCTGCCGCTCATCGTGGTCACGTGTGGACTCACTGCCTGCCCCGTGTCGGTTCTAACCAGCCCTCTCCCTTTGTGTTGTTTTTTCTGTTCTCTAACACTCCAGGTCCAGATAGTCTCCAAAAAAGTGAGCTACAGCCATATTCAGTCCAAGTGTGGTTCCAAGGACAATATTAAGCATGTCCCTGGAGGTGGTAATGTAAGTATGCGCTCGGGGCTGCTGGCGTCTGAGGCACCCTGGAAAGAGGGCCGCCCCGCGCTGGCGGGCGAGCGGAGTCGGGGGGACCCCGATGCTCAAATGTGTTCAGACTGAGTGTTTCTGGTGAGCCCTAAACGACAGCTGGGTGACACCCACTTGGCATCTTTTGCCCCTGTGGGTGGGAGGCCTTAGGGGTTCAGAGACCTGTTCTGAGGGACGTGGTCTGTCTCGAGTCCGCTCTTGGGGGTGCAGTGGTCCTGACCTGGAGACAGATGTCCGGACTTCTCCAGAGCCCATCCTCAAGTCCTTGCTGTTGTAGAGCAGGGAGTTTGTGTTCCACGTGCTCCCACCCCTCCTGTGCCCTCCCTTCATCTCTGTGACTCTGCTCTTTCTCCTCTTCTCTCCCTGCTTCCTTCCCCCTCTTTTCTTTCTGCTCTCCTTCCCCCACTGTTTACCTTTTCCACCCCCTTCCTCCTATTTCCTTTTCTTTTGGCTCTTT